GCGGTGGATAGTCCTGCCTGTCGGTCTGAAACGAGGAGAGATGGGGGGGCAGCAGTGCTACCGCCCCAGGACCACTCCACATAGTGGGGGGTCGCAAAGGTCGGCAAGTTGATGGGCTTCCTGGAGGAGAGGGTCGACAGTGGGTGTGAGCAAAGACCTCTTGCAGGGCAAGACGTACAGGGCATTTGTACATTTTGGTTCCCAGCATCGGAACCATGGTCAAGGCCAAGTCTCCTAGGAGAGGTCAGGAGTTCTAGGTAGACCAGGCTCTGGAAGGAAGGAAGCTGGGACGTGATCTGGGACACAGTGTCCTCCCATTGAGAGCAGGGGGGGACATCACTGGTGGTGGGCAGGGCTCAGGGAGCTGGAGCCAGGGCCCACTTTGTGCTAGGCTGGGGCTGACAGCGGGCATGGCCACACGAGGGCATGGCCCCTCCCAACTACCTGAGGGTTCCCTCAGATGGGGTGACCCCCCTCCTGCCCCTTCTTCCTTCCGCTCCCTGGGAGATCTTCACCCTGGCCACACCCAGTGAGCGCTGAGGGGAAAGAGGGGCATCAGCCACAAAACGGCTTGTTCGGCCTCTCAGCCCTTTGCCATTGTCCACTGCGATCTCGATAGTGCCTTCAGATCCCGCAGGGTTTCTGGTGGCTGATTCCCAGGAGGGTGCCCGACCTTTCTTCCCAGGCACCTCCACCTGCCGACTTTCTGGCTCTCCGCCAAGCAAGTGGACGGTTTTCACCTCTACAGGGACGTTGTGCAGGGACATACACCCAATTCCACCAGTCCATGCAGGGGCTTGGGCGGTCCTAGGTGCTGTGGGCAGACTGAGGCCCGGCTCTCATCTCCCAGGAAGCAGACCTCTAGGGGGTGGGTGGCTGCTGGGCGGTTCAAACTTCCAGTCTGCAGCTGAGCGCTTAATTGTTGTACCAAACTCCAGCCCCACTCGGCGCCATCGAGTCCATGCCGATGCAGACTGACCCTGGAGGACACAACAGAGCCGCCCGGGGGGTTCTCCTAGGATAGAGATCTTTATGGGAGCAAAACGCCTCTTCTTTCTCCCTTGGAGGGACTGCTGGTTCCAACTGCTGACCTTGCGGTTAGGAGGGGGGGCGCGGTCTTGAGAGAAGCAGGGCATGTGTCACACCTGGTCCAAAGACTGGCCAGGGCCTGGCTGGCAGAGTGGGGGCTCAGGCCGCAGCCTTTGGCTGCCTCTTTGAGGATACCTCCCCAGACCGTCCAGCATGACAGCCTGGTGGAGATGGAAGTGGGAAGCTGGACCACAGTCCCTTCATGGGTGCCCTCTGGTTGTTCTCTAGACCCCCGTGGGTCCATGTGGGTCAGAGCCGATCATCCTCCCGTAAACACTGTGCCATGCTTCTCTCCCTCAGTGCTATGGGCTGGGCTCCAGCCTTCAGGCTAGCTGTCCAACGTCACCCACGTGTGCTACCCCAGGACCTCGGGGCTCTGCTCCACCAGTTTTCAGTGATAGATCCCAGGTGCCTCTGTGTGGACTCGAACCTCCAACCTTCTGGCTAGAGCAAGGGTCAGCAAACTGCGGCTCTCCAGCCACAGGCCACTCTTCTGGTCCGTGCAGGTGGCTCCGAAGGGACATCGAACGAAACTTTAAGGATATTATTCAGATCATGGTGATTTCCTTTGTTTGTAAAGATAGACTACTGGTGGGCCTGGAATAATTTTGAAATTGTTGTGGGGGGCAGGGCTGGCGCTCTGTCTCCAAAGTTTGCCGACCCCCTGGGCTAGAGGATAAGCCTGCTCATCCCTGACCAAGCTCCTGATGGGTACACGGGGAAATGCATTTCAAGTAATCATTTTGTAGCAGCGATCATTGAGGGCAGTTAAAAACCCAATCAACAAGCCCACGTGGAGCTGCAGGAGACAGAGGAAGGAAGTCCCCCCACCCCCATCCCCACCCCGTGGCACCAATCCAGGCCTGCCTGCCTAGGTGTCTCCTGGCTCCACCGTGGCAGCACTATCTGAAGGCTCTATCATTTTTTTATGAATGTTTCCGTCTGGCTTAGCTGAGTCCCAGCCCAGACGCTGGCAGTAGACAGCTAACCAAGAAGGCGGTTTATCTGGGATCTTTAATAACCGCTGGTGTTTGCCCCAAAACTCCCATTTCCAGATCATCCGGCCCCTGTGTGTGGCAAGGCGGAATTGGCCAGATAAGAAAGGGGCCCTTGGGCATGAAAGCCTCTGGGCCAGCAGCTGCCAGGGAGAGAGGGGTTATGCTGTCCAGCTATCTTTGCTTCCGAGGGAGGCAGGTGTCCCTCGGGGACTTAGAGCACCACACACTGTGGGAATGGTGTTTCCGATGCTGAGTGGACATGCTCCCTCCGGCATCAGGACAGGAGAGATGTGTCCAGCCTCCAGCCTGCCACCGGTCTTGCCTGAACAGGAGGGAGCAAGGGCCCCAAGTACTGCCTCACCTTGTTAAACATTTGCTGAGTAAATGAAAGGTGTCTATGCGCAAAAAAGAGGGGGGGGGGCTGATAAGGAAAGGAGGGAAGGAGTGGGGTAAGCAGGGCAGGCACAGTGTTCTCTTGAGATGTTCTATGCGCTTCCTTGAAGGTCACATTTAGAATCCTGCCGTGCGATGGGCTCCTGGCAGATTCCGTGTCTTCAAAACTCTAATCACATGTCCAAACCATGGGATGAAGGGCCAAACTGACCTGCCATAGGAGAACATGGGAAAGGGAACAGACGGGGCCTCCGGCCCAGGATCCAGAGGGAACCAGACCTCTTGCTAACAAGCCCCTTCCGGCTCCTGGTGAGCCTGTGCTACTCCCGAGGTGCCACTGGGTGGGCCTGCACCCTCACAGGGCTCACTGCGTGCACCATCCAGGGACTCCCCTCTCCAGAGACTGGCTAAGTGACCCGAAGGGCCTGTCAGATGGTGGCCACAGCTCTAGGGTGCCCAGGGAATGGGGACAAGGTCAAGCACACATGACTTGAGGCACCTCCATGGGCATTAAGTCCGTTCTCGCACACAGTGACCCTGCTCCCTGGGGTTTCCCAGGCTGCCATCATGATGGGACCAGATGGTGGCATCTTCCTCCCGGGGAGCAACAGGTGGGCTCCATCCATGGTCCCGATGGTCAGCACCAAAGAGCCACTTTTAAGGTTAATTTGCTCCAGATCGGGGTCCCTGGGTGGCACAGTTAACCCCTCTACTGCTAGCCTGAAGGCTGGCAGTGCGACCCCACCGCTTGAGGGTGACTTGGAAGTAGGCCTGGTGGCCAGCTTCCCAACAGTCACAGCTTTGAAGACCCCGCGGAGCAGACGTGCTCGACACGCACGGGGTCACTATGAGTCAGAGTCAACCCGAGGGGGCAGCTAACAGCCACATGGGATGAAGGGCCAAACTGACCTGCCATAGGAGAACATGGGAAAGGGAACAGACGGGGTCACATGGGATTTGCACTGAAAATAAAAAGACTCGTTTCCCTTCAAAGGGAACTGAATGCTCTTCTCTGTCTTTGTTTGTTCAGCATGGCAATCCTACAAAGGTGGTGCAGAGGGCCCCCCTCTCCCCGCATTGTCACAGGAAGCAAAACTGCCCGTTCCAAGATGCAACGGGGGTGGGGGTGGGGGAAAATAAAGGAAAATGTCAATGGCAGGGCAGCTTCGATCAATTCCTCAAGTTTTCAGAAGCCAGCCCCCGGGGCTGCCGGAGCGCTGTCCCAGGTGCTGATTCTGAAGATCAGTAAGCTGCACAGGCTGTCCATTTGCAGTTCAAGAAAAGTCAGACCTACTGTCCACCACTCAAGGGCCACATGGGACATCTAGGCACAGCTAGTTCATTGCCGCCTGTTCAAAGTCACTGTCCATAAAGAGGCACGTGAGGAGTAGAGCCAGAGTGCCTCCACAAGGGTGGTGATGAAGCAGGGGGTCAGTGAGAAAGGGGAAGACCTCCCACGAAATGGATGGACACCCTGGATTTAAGCACTGCAGAGTGGTGAGGACGGCGCAGGCAGGCAGGCAGGTAGGCAGCTGTCTGTTGCATGCGGACAGGGTCGCTACGAGTCGGAACACACTTGGAGGCCCCAGTGGCATCTCAGGACTGCTAACTAACCTCAGTACTGGCCAGCAGTTTGGAACCACCAGCTGCTCCATGGGAGAAAGACGAGGCTTTCTACTCCCGCAAAGAGTGGCCGTCGCAAGAAGCCCAGGGGGGCAGTTCCACCCTGCCTTGCAGGGCTGCTGGGAGTCGGCATCGACTCCATGGCCTGAGTGACCAAGGCAGCAGGGAGCTCAAGGAGGGGAGCATGTCTGTGCCCCGGATGTGCTCTGCTCCTGCTGCCTCCATCAGAGACGAGGAGGTGAGGCCGTCTCACCACTTCCCATTTAGCTCCCCTCTAGTGGTGAGTTAGTCCCGAGAAGGGACAAGAGACACATTAAACCGCGTGCCCATGCCTGCTAAACCAACTCAAAGCCGGGTGCCACCAAGTCCATTCTGACGCGTGGCACCCCGTGTGCTGCCGAGAGGGGCGGCCCCCCAGGGTTCTCTCCACTGCAAACCTGGAAGTAGATCACCGGGCTTTGTGCTGCAACACCCTGGTTGTGCTCAGCCCTCCCAGTGTATGCTCATTGAGCACTGTTGTCCCACCCAAGGGGGCTTTATCCCTGCTACCACACACACACACACACACACACACACACACACATTTTTCTGCATACATAAAATAACCTTTGAAAACACATTTGAAAAAATGACACTGTTCCCCAATAAAATGACTTTTTAAAAATGACGCTACACCAGGCCCTTACCAGTGTGCATCTGTCTGTGGAGGACAGGACACGGCATACTTTCATTTTCTTCTTTTGTACATTTTCTGATGGTCGGGACTTTCTAAATGCACGTGCTACACGCCCAGACGGTTCACTGGTAGTGGGCCAATCCCTTACTGCTGCAGTTCCTGCCTCAGGCGGCCTCTGGTGGACAGTGTGTCCTCCCCCCAGCCCGCGCCCGGTGCCTTACCGATACTTCATGCCCGTGCGCTGGGCGGTGCAGCTGTCCAGGGAGAGCCCGTGCATGCGGAGGAAGCTCTCCATGTTCCTGGCCTGGACGGCCGCCCGCACCTCTCGCAGGCGCTGCAGCTCCAGCGTGTCCGTCTTGCGGACAGGGTGCAGGGCCCAGTCGGATGGGCATTTGCTGCTCACACTCCTCAGGCTCTCGCTGTACGTCATGGACAACATGGTGCCTGCTGCGGTCCAGACGGAAACGCCCAGCGGTGGCGGGTTAGCCGGCGTTGCTTCCAGTGCCCCAGGCGGGTGCGGTCGCCCAGGGCAGCTAACGCTTCAGCCAAACCTCATCTAGCCGGAGGGGCTTGGGGATGGGGCCTGGTCCCTCCGGGCAATTAGATTCTGGGGTCCTCGAGGGCTATGGTTAACTCTCCCCCTGTGCCCCCGTGCATGACACAAGCACAGGCGAAGCTGCATTCCAGGCGGGCCCTCGAACCCCCACATGCTCCCCATGAGAACAGGAGTCGGGAGAGGAGCATGCAGAAGGCCTGCCCCCCACACTCATGGCTCACAGTGCTTGCTCGGCAAGATGCCCAGGACAAACCAGGAAAGGGTTGTCCCCTGGGGAAGCAGCCTGAGGCTCAGAGGGGCAGAGACCACACCCCTCATTGAAGCAAACTCCCACATGATGGAGCCAGATGGGCAGCTCACCCCCATGTGCCCTAAACCCTGGAAGGTGGGGTTCTTTGGGGTCCATGACCATAAGTGTGTCGCAGCCTATGGATTTTTAGACCAGAGAGACGGAGCAGGATGCGTCGATATGGAGGAGTGAGGTGGGGCTTGGGGTGGGAGATCTCAGAGCTTGAAATGTTCAGAGACATTGCTTAATAAACAGTCATCTTAAATGAGGGCATCAGGTCAATGCTGGCTCCAAGTGACCCTCTAGGACAGGGTAGAACTGCCCCTGTGGGTTTCTGAGATTGTAACTCTTGCCAGGGACAGTGGAAAGCCTCGTCTTTCTCCCGCCAACCGGCTGGTGGTTTCAAACTGATGATCTCGTGGTTAGCAGCTCAAGGAGCAGCCACCGCAGCACCAAGGCTCCTAACTGAAGACCAAACACCCTCGAACTAACAACCGTGTACAAGCTCATCATTAGGGCAAAGGGCGCCTTGACCCAAAGCTTCATCAACCGTGGGTCCTGATCACACACGAATAGGAGCCTTAGGGAGAATGTGGCAGCAGGCAAAGGTTTCTGAATGCCCGATGACCAGAAATTGGCTCAACACCCCACAGGCTTCTGGGTGCCTTTGCTCGTGCTTCAAGTTTCTTGGGTGAAAAGGGGTCACGAGTAGACGTGTTTGGGCAGCCCCAACTTTCACTGAAAGCCATCTCTCTGGTGGGCACCGGGTGGCTGTCAAGATGGGGGTCCCAATGTGAGCATGAGGGGGGTCAGGGGCAAGTAAAAATAAGCCAAGGGCAAGAGAATGCAGAAAACTAACTGGCCCATGGCCATCATTTCCGCTCCACCTCATCATGACCCCACAGGACAGGCGGGGACTGGCCCTGTGGGCTTCTGAGACTCCATCTTTCCGGGAGCAGAAAGGCTCTCCTTCCTCCCACGGGGGAGCCTTAGAATGCTTTATTTGCGCTAATTAATGGAATACGAAATCTGTGACTTGCGGGGGCAGGGTGCTGGAGCATATATTGCCAGCATCAAAGACCAGGCCCTGGGCCCAACATCCTCGTCCGTCAGTGCCCCCAGAGGCATGACTGCCGACCCCTCCCTTCTTGGTCTCTGATGCTTCCGAGGAGAAGCAGGGGAGGAGGTGAAGCTACCGATTGTGCAGGGCCGGGTGCTGGATGCCTGTCCCACTCCCTGCCCTGAGAAACAAGCTCCCTGAGGACAGGGTCCCTGGGTAGCTGGTTTGGGAGGGCGAGGGTTGACTCTGTCTGGCTCTGCCCAGCAGGGGCAGGCGGTGGCATGAGGAGTCTGAGGACCAGTGAGTGAGGACATGGCTTCAGGACCTGAGCAGGCCTCCAAAGAGGTCCCAAACCAGCCGACCTTGGTTAAGGCTGGCCAGTGCGGGTCCTGGCAGGCAGCATCCCCCTGGATTCTCCACCTACCCTGATACCCACACCCCTCTGTGCTCAGCCTTCCTCCACTACCTCTGTCATCCATCATCTCACCTGCTGGGGGCATGCGAACAGTCTCTCTCGTACTGATTACCCGGCAGGGCCTTAGCTGTCTGCTACTGACCAACAGAGCGTGGGCCTTCAGAGGGTAACCAGGGCCCGCGAGGGCCCCTTGCCTTCCGCTGTACACCCCCTCCTGCCAGATGTATCTGTCACTGACTGTCCCTCATCAGGGGCCTCCTCCCGGGTTCACGTCAAGGGCTCTGAGAGGCAAGAAAGAAAGGTATGTACAGGAAGCCCCACACGAAGCCCCACCCTCCCTGGGAGGCCGGGGTATTGGTGCACCTACTGGCCACAAATCACAGGCCCTTCTCAGGCAGTGGGCTACCTGCTGGCTGCAAACCTGCCTCCCAGGGTCGTGCCCACAGACAGGCCAGCGCCAGCCGTAGTAGTGGCCCTTCCTGAGATGCAGGGCCTGCCGAGCACACACTTCCCATCCAGCTGGCCATTAGCTCTCCAGAGGATCCCACAGGCAGCAGCGGGCTGCCGGCTCTGCACATGCATCAGGGCCCCAGGGTGCATGGCAGCCTGGTGCTGGGCTCCGGGCAGGGGCACCCTTATCTCCTGCTCAATGATACCTGGCCTCTTTTTGGGGGGGCACTGCAGCAAGATGGGGCCCCACTACCAGCTCTTACCAGGGCTGTGAGGAAAAAGGGGGTGTTGGGGCAGGTGCTTGGTGTAGGTGACACAGGGCCGCAGGCACCAGATCTTACCAGCCAGGGCGTCTAAACAGGAGTCAGGGTTTCCTAGGGGTCCCCTCACTGAAGACACGGGGTGAGCTGGGGAGTCTGCTGGGGAAACAGGGGGAGAGGGCAGAACAAGTCCTTGGCCAATCTCTTGGCTACTGTGGCTGGGGCTGGAAGGGTGCCTTCTCTCAGGGGTCTCCGTCTCTGACTCTGATCTTCCCACGGGCACATCTAGAAGGCAAGGGCCCCCCACATTGGGCAACCTCAGCTCTTCTCTACACCTGGCCCAGCAGGAGGCATGAGGGGCGGGACCTGGGGCCTACAGGTGGGCCTGTGGGGCAGTGGGCTGGGCTGCGGTCATTCACCCTCATAAGGTGCTGGAGGAGTAGGGAGGGAAGTGGGCCCAGAAGACAGAAGGGGACTCTGGGGTCTCCAGTGCAGCCAAGATGGTCCACCGGGAGAGGGTAGAAACCTGCTCTTGGAGGTAGCTGCCCCCTCACTGCAGGGGTGCTCAGGTCCCCCTGCCTGACGGTGATGCCAGTAGAGTTGGGACCGTGAATGAAAATCCCTGTCAAACACTGCTGGGGAGACGGGGTCACCTGGGGCTGCTGCACTTGCTTCTGCACCTGGGGGCTGGAAGGCACACCTCGGGCCTCCATAGCTGGACACTCAGGCTGTTCTCCCTCACTGCTTGCCCCTTGCTCCCCAGCTCGCAAAGCAGCCCCCTCCCCAGTAGCCCTTGCTGGCTGGCATGGTCACTGCACGTCCTGTCCTGCTCCTGGCAGGCCTTCTGCAAATCTATTCTTGTTGATTGGGGGGTGGGGTGGGGGATAGGGCTCGGGGGAGTTCCTGTCAATTAGCAGCACAACAGGGAACACCGACACAGAGATGGCAACCTCATTAAGTCAGCCGGAAGCACTCTCCCTCCCACCCGGCCCCAGTCCCTGCATTTCTTGCTGGGGGTCTGTTTCAGGAGAGCCACCGAGACATGACAAGGAACCGGAGACCGAGGAGGATGAGCGGTCGGAGAGGAGAGCATGAGTTCCGGAAACCAGAAATGCGGCGCCAGGGGGGGAGGGAGGGAAGCTCGCTCCCAGATGCAGCAGTGCCAACACAACATTGTTTGTGCTCAAGAACAACCGGCGCACCCAGGCCCCAGCCCCCGGGCCTTTCAGACAGACCGCAGGCAGCAGCCACACCGCGCCGGCCAGGGGCAGTTCGCACCCACCCTGAACTCACAAGGTCTCAGCTGGCCCCTGCAGAGGGGAGATGGGCAGCTCAAGCACAGGCCATCAGCCGAGGACACTGCCAGGCGGGACCTGCACCCTCACCTCCTCACACACACATGCCCACGGCCCAGCGGTTCTAGGCTTTCAGCTTTCGGCAATGTAGAGGGGCTGATTCCAGTTCAGCTAAAAGCATCCCCCTGCCCCCCCCC